GGCTTGCCCTTGCCGCCGCCGCCCATCCCCGCTCGAAAAAGATCTTGATACTGACGGTGTCGAAGCCACGCGCGAAGAGACTCTCGAGCCGAACAAACGGCCGCGGAATTGGGCAATGAGCGAACCAACTTTCGGAGAAAATACGGCGGATACCCCAGCAAGTGCAACTCCAAGAGAAACTCTAGGATCCCAAGACTCGATGCCAAACACGACAACCCCAGGCTACGATATCTGGCCACTTTCCCCATCAGGATGCCTCGCAACGTCCCGAACGACATCGGTAACGCACCTGGCCAGGGGAGCACGTGAGACTTTGACCGGATTGCACGGGCGGGAAAGTCCCCCCAACCTGCGTACAGCCACCCTCTATTTGGGTTCTTATGCGTGAATGCCAAGCTATACCCTTGAACCCTGAGACACAGATCCAACCACTCGAACAGCCCACCTGGATCATCATCAGACTTAAAAACCACACTCAGAGGTTCCTGGAAAATTTGTCCCAAATACAGTTGTACACAATCGCAACAATGGGTAACACTTCCAGACAAAATATCATCCACATACCTGCTCCAGTTGATATCTTCTCGGGGATCCCCTGGGAACGAAAAACCTTGTGCTAGATGTCGTTCTCGAGCGTACCTGTCCACTAGTTCTTCAGCCCCAAGCCGAACCGACACCGCAGCCGACGACATAACTCCTCCAATAGCCATCCCAGCCATTTCAACCACTGTATCCCCAAGAACAGCTAAGGTTAGTCTGGAAGCAGCCGCAAGAGCTCTACGTAATTGCCCCAAGGAAAGAGACCACCATCCTCGCCCATATCTCCTAGCTCGGTCCCCATGTTCAGCTAAAAACTTCTTCCCCCGTCGAATCAGGAGTCTGGAGGTCCCGAACTTCGAGAGATAGGCTTGCTCCAAGAGGTCCCATCCTGGCAATATCGACGACGACGCACACGCATCGAAGGCCTGGTCCACATCAGTCGTGACCACATCTAGTCCTGGACGCATAACCTTTTTACATATTTGGCATTGCGTGGGGCACGAGCTAAGTCTCAAGCCCGAAAAAGTTTGTTCCATGTTCTGGCGTGTGCAGCTAATGTCGAAAAGCTCCCGCGACTGGTCAGTGACTTCCACCACTGACCGAACTCCTCGGGCAGCAGCCTTCCAGCCCGAGGCAAAAGGAGTGCCGCTCATATCCAGAATTCGTCTCCAATGAGTATGACCTGGCTTGGTACATACTAGACGTCCGTCATCTGCATGGCACTTGCTCTTGATGAGTGGGAACAGCCGAGGTGGGCCCAGCGAACGTCCAGGCCGAGCAGGATTACGGCGAAGAAAGCCAGGTAAGCCCAGAAACGCTTTCGCATATCCCCACTGCGCTACATTCGCCACCGTTAAATCACGTCGTACACACCACTGCGGGTCCTGAACAATCGCTTGAAATAATCCCAAACCAATCTCTTGAAAATTGATCGTCCACACCTTTGAAGCGTCACGATCATCACCGACACGCGCTGTTCCACTATGTTGGTGCTGCCGAAAGACGCGCTCATGATCATCCCAAACCGGTGGTGGTGGAAGCGGTCGGTGATGTTGACCTCCTGCTTGCTGCCAACAGCCGAAGCCATAACCCCGAACATGTGCTGGTAAACGCACTGTGGAAGCCCAGCGTGACCACGATGCCCGACACTGACGCCGCGTAGATGTTCCCCTCGGCCACTTAGGTAAACGCCACGGACCCACAACAGCTCGTAAGCTCGGTGTGGAAGCTAGCCGCGCGAGCTCAACCTGCGGTAACTGTGCCATACTCGATGAGAAAGAGCTTGGCGCTTTTTTAGAATTGATAGCGTCGACCCAACGCTCACGTTTGCCAACTTGAACCCGAAGCTTGCCGAGGATATGATCGCGCGCAGGTTGCAGACGGATGCGAGTGACCACCTTCCGAACCAAGTCCTTCACCACTGCGAGGGACCCTTTGATGGCATGAGGAATGACCAAAGGTGCAACTTGAAATGGTGGTAACTTCTGTCCGCGTAGGACGCGTTCCAAGAACATGCGTGCTGCCGTTGGCCGAGCACCTCCTCGAACGAACTTGGGAATCTGCTGGCCTGCTTGGTACGAGAACTCCGCTACCTGATACTTCTGCATACGATCGGGAAACCGAACGAAAGGACGATATGACGCACAGAAAGCCACGAAAAGGTTGAGGTAGGTCCCGTCAAACAAGTCGATCGGCCCCACAACGCCTGTACGAACACGCTCCACTTGTTGAATCTGCTGATACAACGCTGCAAATGGACCAACAAGCTGCGCACCTGGAATGAGATCGGCCATCCTGGCCACAATCCTGGATTCACCTGCTTCCACTGCCCTTGAAAACGGCGACTGGGCCCAAATCGATGCGATACCTCGAGGTCCTCGAATCCGTGGTGGAGGCCGACGACGTCGACCTTTGGATGTCCTGCCGACCTTGGACCCCAAGAGCTTATCAGTGAGAAACTGATCTGCACGATTGCCTTCTGGTTCCACAAAGCGAATAAGAATTGATTCCAACGAAAAAGCCCGAGCTTCATCAACGCAAACTGCAACTGGAAGAAATGCCGAGCTGCCTAACGTCTCGCGTAGGCCTGAATACCGCGGAAGGCGGCCTTCACGAGATGTTGGTCGTAGAAGTGCACGAAGATGCTCCCGAAGACGGGCAGGGAGGCCTGGCGTCGCGCAACGGCGCGATATGTTAGTTTTGCCAATGTACGACGATGAGGTAGACCACAGCACATACACCGCAGACTCGTCGGCGTGTGCCCGAGTCCCCAAATCCAACATCTCTGAAACCCACTGCTGGTCAAAGCCCAAAATGCCCCGGTGCGCGGCAGCTGGCAGACTTCTGAAAACTCGGCCTGACCACCGTGGAAGACGACGCATTTGAACAGCACGACGTAGCCTAGCAACACCACTGCACACCGACATGTAGAAAGCCATGATCGCCACTTTCGGACAACCAACGCCTTGTTGAAGGTGGGCGGGAAACATTTGCCGAAGAACATGATACATTGCTAAGCCCAGCGACGGTAGATCCAATTGCTGAAGACAATCCACTGCCCACTGCTTGACACGTAAAAGACCCATATCTGATGGTTGAACAATATCTGAAATCACTTGCTGTACTCGATTTTCGGCCCACGCTCCTGCTTTCGAGGGACGGGGCCACTCCACGCCCGAACTGACACGAAGGGTTGAATCATGACGCGCCGTCGCTCGGAGAAGCCAGCTCGACGTCACGTGGTGGCATGTCTTACGGGCGACGGATATCAGCGAAGGCTGATCTCAAGATGAAACTTGTTTCTCAACTCCCCTGCAAGAACTCCATCAAACTCCTGCGGTAAAGCACCGCGCCATCCTGGCATGAGCGCGCGCGCTCCAGGGCGTCGCCCCGCTGGAGGCAAAAGAAACCAGTCTCAGCCAGACTGGCTACGGAGGAAAACGCGAGCCCTCAGAGCACGTTTCGACACGGGCGACCATACCCTTCAGCGGAGCCTCTCCCCAAGACTCTGCCCAAGACTGAGATCCCAAGGCTGGCGTACTTGGTCTGCGGGTCCCTGGTCTTCTAGTGTGTGTGTGTGTGTGTCTCTGTGTGTGTGTCTCTGTGTGTGTGTGTCTCTCTGTGTGTGTCTCTGTGTGTGTGTCTCTGTGTGTGTCTCTGTGTGTGTGTGTCTCTGTGTGTGTCTGTGTGTGTCTCTGTGTGTGTGTCTCTGTGTGTGTGTGTCTCTGTGTGTGTCTCTGTGTGTGTGTCTGCGTGTGTGTCTGTGTGTGTGTCTGTGTGTGTGTCTGTGTGTGTGTCTGCGTGTGTGTCTGTGTGTGTGTGTGTCTGTGTGTGTGTCTGTGTGTGTCTGTGTGTGTGTGTCTGTTGTGTGTCTGTGTGTGTGTCCTGGTTGTGGTCTTTGTGTGGCCTTTGTGCGTGTCTGTGTGTCTGTGTGTGTGTGTCTGTGTGTGTCTGTGTGTGTGTCTTTGTGTGTGTGTCTGTGTGGGTGTGTCTGTGTGTGTGTCTGTGTGTGTGTCTGTGTGTGTGTCTGTGTGTGTCTTTGTGTGTGTGTCTCTGTGTCTGTGTCTCTGTGTCTGTGTGTCTCTGTGTCTGTGTGTCTGTGTGTCTCTGTGTCTGTGTCTGTGTCTGTCTGTGTCTGAGTGTGTCTGTGGTGTGTGTGTCTGTGGTGTGTGTATCGTTGTGTGTGTCTGTGGTGTGTGTGTGTCTGTGGTGTGTGTGTGTGTCTG